ACGATGTAACTGAGATACACTAAGCCCCTATTTGATAGAATTTTTGTTTAAAAAAATAATAAATAAATAAAATGAGTTTTTTAAATAGCAAATTTTGAGAGAACGCATGATTAAAAAGCAAGAAAAATTTTGGGCTTGCGTGAAAAATATTTTATTATGACAACGTATGGCTGAAATGAGTATGAAAAAAGAATGGAAGGAATGATTGTCAAACAAAGGCTAGATAATAGTGGTTACTATTTTTGAAAATTATTAAATTAATTTTGTTGTACAACCATTAAATATTATCATATTAAGGGGTTTAGGTTTTAACGTTTTGTAATATCTTGAGTCAGTTTCATATGAACTTTGCTCCATTTTTTATATTTTTTAAAATCAAGGAAAACTCGAAACACAGGCCCCCCTTCCCCTCACCCCAAAAAAATAAAAAAATAAAAACCACATGCACGCATACGCACACACAAAACACAAAGCACAAAACATGAAAAATACAAGAGAGATGTTAGGCTTGTAGGACCTGTTTCACAGGTTGCTATCAGGCCACACACATACATGGATCCCACATAATTTTTTTTTTAATACATGAGAGGCCCTGCACAGTGAAGAACCCTGTAAAACATTTGTGAAAAATGTCCAATACATTTCTCAAATTACAATGATACAAATTGTGTTCGTGTTGTATGCATTCTCATTTTTGTGTCTTTATGTGCTTTGCTTTACATATTTAAGATGAGTCACGTCATTCTAGAATCTAGATGCCATGATTGTCCACATGCATATTAAAATATGAAGTAATAGCACTTGAAAACGCTCATTGACGGGCACTTTTTGACAGACAGATTCGACGGTTTATGATTGACAGTCTCTTGTTTAACACTTTATTTTTATTTTTATTTTTTGGACATGCCTAAAGACATATCGGTTGAAGTAGATTCTTTTTTTTTTTTATCCTCAAAATAGGTTTTCATAAATCGCTTTACAATTAAATCCCTTTTTTGCTCATTGAATACAAAACATCCGGCTCCTGGTGTAACAGCGAGCACCAATTTAACTTGGGGGTGGTTGAGCAATTTAATAAGAGAGCTTGAATCCAATTGGCATATCAATACGATATGAGCTCTTGAAATTGAAATAAATTCAGCAGCGAGTCATGAAATCATGATCCGTTCTCCTACCATTTCTCAGAAGTCGATGACTATTCATAGCTCTTACCTTGACTCCAAAGAAGAGTTCAACCATCAAATTAATTATGTATTGTATTTTGTCAAGTATACAATATGATTATCTTTGACTCCTTAGAATGAGAGTTAGTGATTAAATATAGTCAATTTGCTTCGCAAACAAAGTTTATTTCCATATTTCTATCTCACACAAATTAACAATAATTTCAAGCTAAAAAGTTCATATGTAGTTTTTAATTAGACACCATTGTAGAGGACGGAAAATAAATATGTCCCTTGTCACATACGATCCCATACATAGGGGCAAGCAAAATGAACAAGGAAATCACTGTCTTATATTGGATAAATTCTTCCAAAATAAATTAATTATAGTATAACATTTTTTAAGTGTGAATCGACATAATATTTGAAAATTATGTACATACATGTATTTGATGATGGAGCTACGAGTGGACTAAAATATTTTAGGGCTAGGTTTGTGTATTTGACGATGGAGCTACGAGTAGACTAAAATATTTTAGGACTAGGTTTATATATATAAATTTCATATATAATAAAAAGAATTCACACTCAGTAATTGTTGATGGAGACATGCTTGTGATTATCGATAGTTGTTGATGTAGACATGTCGGTGATGTCCCCGTAATGTGTCTTAAAGTCCAATTATTTTTTAAACAATTAACTGGTTGAACGCTCCCATTTAAGAGTTATTCTATTGAGTTCTAATAGTTCCTATGATTTGATAAACAAAATACATATTTATTTAAAAGAAGCAATTATCCAGTGATCCTCCAATTCAATTTAATAACAATAGGCAAATGTTTTTTGATGGATCTAATTTATTAATTATTTAGACAAGGACACATTTAGTACCGAGTCATATTGTTGTGGCATAAGTTTGAACTTGTTAGAAAAGAAAGAGATGTGATTAAAGAAATTTTCTTCATTTTTGAAAGGAAGAAAAAAGGAATAAAAATAAAGTTAAGAATATTATGATATTATTGTGCCATTTAATCTAAAATGCCTTTTGGAAATGGTTGTCTTTTCATTAGGGAAAAATTTTATATTCCATATTTTTGTTCATCCGTCATGTCTTTTCATCACAATTCTCACTCTTTCATGGAAAATTGCAACTCTTTGTAGAGCCATGATCTTTGGACCAATGTCAACGTCACAGGCTATATATATTCCTTTGCATTTTAATATCGTCTTAAAATCTGGAAATGTTTTCTCCTGCAGATTTTGGGTTCCTTATTGTTAACGGTACAAAGTTCGTTTTACTGGTTCATTTGTGACAATGGTGTTAAGTCATTTGGAATGAAATAAGTTCTATCATGGGATGTAATTGTTTGGAGAACTTCGGCACACAGGGACAAAACTTTCTTAGTTAAATATTGTGAATTCAATCGACAAGGATTATTTTAAGATTATTTCTTCGAATAAACTGTAAGTTTGGATTTAACTTTGTTTGTAATTTTAATAGTAATGCATTATGATTTGCATTATTTTATTGCAGTAGAAAAATATGATATTGCATGACAGAGCCGGTCCTGTGTTTGAGGGGCCCTGAGGCGAATGATGAAAATTAGGCCCCCCATCGACAAAATTCAAAGGTGTATTATGCGACTTATTGCTAACTTAAAAAACTAACATTAAAACAACAACGAAATATATCATAGAAACGATTATATTATAAATCATCAAACCAAAAATTTCAAACAATTAGTTAAATACTATTCGTCTTGCTGTTTTAGAGGCAAAAACATCAATCAAATCTGAATAACTTAGCTGCTTAACCATTTCTTTTTCTATTGATAACATAGCCAACCCGTTCAATCTTTCTTGTGACATAGTTGATCGGAGATAAGTCTTGATCAACTTCAATTTCGAGAAACTTCTTTCCGCAGATGCAACTGTAACCGGTACGGTTAACAAAATTTTGTAAGCAATATAAGCATTTGGAAAACAAACATCCAATGTCTTCAAATAGTGTAGCACTTCAATTGCTCTTGTTGCTTCATTTGGTAAATAAATCTTCAAGACTTGTAATTCCGAACATAAATCATCTCCACTGATATCCGAAAGCCCATCATGTTCAAGATATTTTTCAAGATTCATACAAGAGTTCAACAAACT